CTTTGTTACCAAGGGTCACTCACACCAGTCCGCGATCAGCCATCTTACCAGGTTTCCTTGAGTTACGTTGTTACCTGTTTCTCCTATGCAATATTTTCCAACTCACATGGTAATTTATAAATCCACCCTTGCGAGTTGTTACTGTCAAGTAACTTGGTAAAGTATAAAGTCGGTCAAGGTCGGTTATTTAATCTGCATTATGTATTTAGCAGTAATGGTTGCGAATGATTCGGTCAGCGTCAGCCGCCAACGACAACCGCGAGCTTCCTGGAAGAATCAGATAGACTTTCTAATATCGCTGATCGCCTATGCGATCGGTCTAGGAAACGTCTGGCGTTTCCCGTACTTGTGCCACAGGAACGGCGGAGGTGAGTTGCTTTGAAACTTTGAAACATATTTTCCATTTGTCACGTGGCAACGATTAATAACTGTATAGTTGAACGACGAAAGCTTGAAGTGGCAAATTAATCGAAATCGGTTTCTGCTGCCAGCTTGACTACTGATAACTTGACGCATAAACATGAATAATGGACAGAACAGAAATCCGTAATAAATACGATAATCGATATAACCTTCATAAATATAAGTGATCGGTCTTGTGGCGTTTCCAGTCATGTTAGCTTTGTTGTCAACTTGAAGTGGTCAGAAGGTCAACCAACCATATAGCAACTGGTCAATGGGATGTTAAGTTTCTACTACACACGAATCGAAACCAAACAGAGTTAGTATTCAAACATTCATGATTCTCCATCTTCCTCACAACGCATTTTGGTTCCTTCGTTCCTCCACAGGGAGCAATCCGCGTTGACAAGCCGGTTGTAAAGCGTTCCCCTCCTAGGTGCCGCGTATAAGAGCCTACAATCGTTTATGCACAAGGCACTTGCATTCTTACACTACGCAGGGATAGGAGATTCCTGCTATATGCTTGGTAAGCGGCACCTACTTCTAATCGTCTGTATGGGTGCATCTGGTTCCGGCTCGTATTGCTGATAGGAGGATACTGCCTTAAGATGCCAGGAGCAACTTTTCCCTATCGCTAAGGAAACTACATCTTCAGTCAGAAAACTTGAATAAGATGAGCGTATTTGAATCTAGCGGGAAATTGTGGATGTGACGCGCTTAGTGACTGTTCTTCCTCTGCGAGTTTGCGGTGACAAAGTTATGCGCGTTTATATTTTTAGGTGCCTTTTTAATTCCGTATCTTCTAAGCTGGGTTTTGCTGGCTGCGCCGATATTTTTGATGGAGGTTACGCTGGGTCAGTATTTCCAAACCGGCATCATCGGCGTCTTCGATTCTTGCCCTATATTTTCAGGTACTGATCGTTGTTTCTTTGTGTAGTATCATCTAGAGTGAGTGCGTATGAGTTTCAGGCGTTGCATATGCTACGGTAATTGTATCGTTCCTTTGCAACATTTATTATTGCGTCATCATTGCGTGGGCGTTATTTTACATGTTTTCCTCTTTCACTCCGTTGCTTCCGTGGCAGGACTGTAACCACACGTGGACGGACAGCGGCTGTCTGTCAGCGTCCTCATGGAATTTGAACTCAACGACTGCCGAATCATCGGTCGAACAATTTTGGCTGTACGGTTTACGTTTCGCAAATTGAACCGTTGCAAAAATTCTTGTATTTCAGGCGTCGCGTATTGCAGACCTCCTCGAGAATAGAAGAAACCGGCGCCGTTCAGTGGGAGCTATTTTCCATATTACTGCTTCTGTGGATGGCCGTCTATTTCACACTGTGGAGGGGCATCACGAAGGCGCGAAAAGTAGGCACCGTTGAAGCGG